GTGTGTGTTTTTGTGTGTTCCAGACCTGGTAGTGTGTGTGTTTGTGTGTGTGTTTTTGTGCGTTCCAGACCTGGTAGTGTGTGTGTTTGTGTGTGTTTTTGTTTGTTCCAGACCTGGTAGTGTGTGTGTTTGTGTGTGTTTTTGTGCGTTCCAGACCTGGTAGTGTGTGTGTTTGTGTGTGTATTTGTTTCTTCCAGACCTGGTAGTGTGTGTGTTTGTGTGTGTGTTTTTGTGCGTTCCAGACCTGGTAGTGTGTGTGTTTGTGTGTGTATTTGTTTGTTCCAGACCTGGTAGTGTGTGTGTTTGTGTGTGTGTTGTGTGTGTTGTGTGTGTGTCATGTGTGTGTGTTTGTGTGTGTTTTTGTGTGTTGTTCCAGACCTGGTAGTGTGTGTGTTTGTGTGTGTGTGTGTGTTTTTGTTTGTTCCAGACCTGGTAGTGTGTGTGTTTGTGTGTGTTTTTGTGCGTTCCAGACCTGGTAGTGTGTGTGTTGTGTGTGTTTTTGTGCGTTCCAGACCTGGTAGTGTGTGTGTTTGTGTGTGTTTTTGTGCGTTCCAGACCTGGTAGTGTGTGTGTTTGTGTGTGTTTTTGTGCGTTCCAGACCTGGTAGTGTGTGTGTTTGTGTTTTTGTTGCGTTCCAGACCTGGTAGTGTGTGTGTTGTGTGTGTTTTTTGTGCGTTCCAGACCTGGTAGTGTGTGTGTTTGTGTGTGTTTTTGTGCGTTCTAGACCTGGTAGTGTGTGTGTTGTGTGTGTGTTTGTTGTGCGTTCTAGACCTGGTAGTGTGTGTGTGTTGTGTGTGTGTTTTTGTGCGTTCCAGACCTGGTAGTGTGTGTGTTTGTGTGTGTTTTTGTGCGTTCCAGACCTGGTAGTGTGTGTGTTTGTGTGTGTTTTTGTGCGTTCCAGACCTGGTAGTGTGTGTGTTTGTGTGTGTTTTTGTGCGTTCTAGACCTGGTAGTGTGTGTGTTTGTGTGTGTTTTTGTGCGTTCCAGACCTGGTAGTGTGTGTGTTTGTGTGTGTTTTTGTGCGTTCTAGACCTGGTAGTGTGTGTGTTTGTGTGTGTGTTTTTTGTGCGTTCCAGACCTGGTAGTGTGTGTGTGTTTGTGTGTGTTTTTGTGTGTGCGTTCCAGACCTGGTAGTGTGTGTGTTTGTGTGTGTTTTTGTGCGTTCCAGACCTGGTAGTGTGTGTGTGTGTTTGTGTGTGTTTTTGTGCGTTCCAGACCTGGTAGTGTGTGTGTGTTGTGTGTGTTTTTTGTGTGTTCTAGACCTGGTAGTGCGTGTGTTTGTGTGTGTTTTTTGTGCGTTCTAGACCTGGTAGTGTGTGTGTTTGTGTGTGTTTTTGTGCGTTCTAGACCTGGTAGTGTGTGTGTTTGTGTGTTGTTTTTGTGCGTTCCAGACCTGGTAGTGTGTGTGTGTGTGTGTTTTTGTGTTCGTTCTAGACCTGGTAGTGTGTGTGTTTGTGTGTGTTTTTGTGCGTTCTAGACCTGGTAGTGTGTGTGTTTGTGTGTTTTTGTGCGTTCCAGACCTGGTAGTGCGTGTGTTTGTGTGTGTTTTTGTGCGTTCTAGACCTGGTAGTGTTCGTGTGTGTGTGTGTGTATGTTTGTGTGTGTTTTTGTGCGTTCCAGACCTGGTAGTGTGTGTGTGTTTGTGTGTTTTTGTGCGTTCCAGACCTGGTAGTGTGTGTGTGTTGTGTGTTTTTTTGTGCGTTCCAGACCTGGTAGTGTTCGTGTGTGTGTGTGTATGTTTGTGTGTGTTTTTGTGCGTTCTAGACCTGGTAGTGTGTGTGTTTTTGTGCGTTCCAGACCTGGTAGTGTGTGTGTGTTTGTGTGTGTTTTTGTGCGTTCGTTCAGACCTGGTAGTGTGTGTGTTTGTGTGTGTTTTTGTGCGTTCTAGACCTGGTAGTGTGTGTGTTTTTGTGCGTTCTAGACCTGGTAGTGTTCATGTGTGTGTTTGTGTGTGTTTTTGTGCGTTCCAGACCTGGTTGTGTGTGTGTGTTGTGTGCGTTCCAGACCTGGTAGTGTGTGTGTTTGTGTGTGTGTTGTGCGTTCCAGACCTGGTAGTGTGTGTGTTTGTGTGTGTTTTTGTGCGTTCTAGACCTGATAGTGTGTGTGTTTGTGTATGTTTGTGTGTGTTTTTGTGCGTTCTAGACCTGGTAGTGTGTGTGTGTGTTTGTGTGTGTTTTTGTGCGTTCTAGACCTGGTAGTGTGTGTGTGTGTGTGTGTGTATGGTTGTGTGTTCATGTGTGTGTGTTTGTGTGTTTTTGTGCGTTCTAGACCTGATAGTGTCTGAGCCTCTTCACTTCTTCTTCGTTGGCCGTTTCTGCCACTTTAAACACCAGCGACGCTTCTCTGAACCTCAGGTTTTCTGTGGGAACGTATCCGTCCAAGAAGATGTTGATACCTGCACGAGAACGAGAGAAGAAGATCACACACCAGGTCAGGACCGAGAGGAGGTCCAGGAGAGGAGGTCCAGGAGAGGAGGTCCAGGAGAGGAGGTCCAGGAGAGGAGGTCCTCTTCCCCTGTCCCCTTGTCCTCGTTACCTTCTCGGACGCTGAAGGGCATGGTCACCACTCCGTAGGCGCTGGGGACTCCGTACAAGCAGCAGATGAAGTCGGAGAGATAATCCAACACACTGAGGTCGTGTTCCACTACGATGATGTATCTGAAACACACACAAACACACACACACACACACACAAACACACACACAAAAGGAGTTTAAAGTTCACTTTACTCACAACACTTTGCAGCTGACGTCCTCGACTTTCTCTGAGGCCTGTTAGACTTTAATCTGATCTTCATTTTGAGGAGAAAGAACGGATTTTTGTTTTGTTTTTTTCCACACTCTTCTCTCTTTCTCTTTTAATGTAAATTTTATGATGGTTATTTATGATCCGATTTATTAGTTTTATGATTTTAACGTCTTTCTTATTCCGTAAAGCACTTTGAATTACTCTGTGTACGAACTGTGCCGTACAAATAAACTTGCCTTTAATCTGAACTCCAACATTTGTGCCGTTAAACACGTTCCGCTCAAAAAACATAACACAAGAAAATATTAACATCAACCCACAGCTGTTTGTTACACTGGGAGTAACAAAAAAATTGACATCACTTCGCAGGCCAATAATTTTTTTAATTGTTGTTACAAAATTCTTGTTTGTTGTGTTTTCAGGTTGAGTCGTTCTCTCCCAAACAGAATCATTTAGTGTGTTGAATCGGCTGCTCACACTCACCCAGGACTGAAGCTTCAACACAACATCTGGAAAAACTTCATCAATTGCAAAACAAATTTGGACTTAGAACAAAAAATATAAAGAGTGCGGCTTTTAGACGACTAAAGAATCTGGACCGACTTCAGGACAAAATTACTTCTTTTCTAAACAGCTCAACTTGAAAACAGAACAAAAATATCACCTAAATCTGTGAAAATGTGAGGTTATTTTAACAAGAATTGGCAAAAAAAACATTATTGGCCTGCGAAATGATGTCACGTCTTTTTTTGTGGAAAATCAAACTCATGAACGCTCAGACTGACCACAGGCTCCTGAAAAATGTGCCGCTCAAATCCACTTTGTTTTTTTTCTCGCGTCTTAAAACTCATTTGTCGGTTTTTTTTAAAGTGTGTGTTGTGTTTCTAGGGCAGCAGCTGCACATTCCTCCATAGACACACACGTAGAACACCCCCGGGGCCCCGTCTCACCTGTCTGGAGTGATGAGGGAGCGGATGGTGATGGCCGCCTTCAGCCGCTGCTTCACGTCCAAGTAACTGGACGGCTCGTCGAACATGAAACTGAAACGCACACACACAGAGCAGAGCAGAGGGAGGTGAGCTTCAGCGTGAGGGCGACAGAGCGACAGTGACGGCGGAGGGGGACTGCAGGGGGCGCTCACATGTCGGCTCTCTGGATGCAGACGACCGCGCAGGCGAATCTCTGCAGCTCTCCTCCGGACAGGTCCTCCACGTTCCTCTCCCTCAGGTGAGTCAGGTCTGCGCACACGCGACACACGAGAGTTCAGAAGAGGGTCCATATCACACACATTTAACACACAAACCCTGAAGATTTAGGAGTTTAGAGCTCTTCTCTCAAACTAAAAACACTCCTACACATTGTGAGGTCATGTGGTGATACAGGAAGTGCTCCACCGTGATTTTAATCCTGGAACAGACCTTTTCCACGACGGCAGGAAGTGTCCCACTGTAGTTTTGCTGAACTTCCGGTTAATCTTTTTCTGTGTAAATTTCTGTAAATGTGTGTGTGTAAGTGTGTGTGTGTGTGTGTGTGTGTGTGTGTAAGCATGTGTCGTATTCTCCAGCAGCTTCATAAATTTGCCCCATCAAAATTTTGTTGATGTGGTTTATATTCAGGGGCGCTCGATAGTCCAGAAATTACGGTACAAGTGTCTTTGACGCAGCAAGAACCAGAGGGAACTACATGGACCATGATCCTTTGCTCCGTCTCAGTGTAGACTCGACATGACAAAATAACTGTTAGAAGCACTTTTAAATCTAAATTCTTTGGATTGTGACAAAAGTAAAGGACTGTTGAAGCATTTTAAACGGGACATTTTGTTGATGAAGATGAAATTTTAGTCTGTTGGACAAATCAGATTTAGAGTTTTGTAATTCTCTTTTTACTTGTATTTACGCTTCTACACTTACAGAATGGGGCTGTGGGGTTTTTAACAGAACTCGCATTACATCAGTTTATCTTCACTGCTCTGTCCTCCCTGTTAAGCTCCGTGTTGATTTTAAAATCCTGGTTTTAACTTCCAGAGCTCTAAATGGATTTACTACACCCCCACACCTCAGGTCACACCTCAGGTCAGGGTCTCTTCATCGTCCCTAAGACCCAATTTAAAACACGGGGGGACGTTTGCTTTCATGAGACAGACTCGATCGACTCTTCTAAAAAAGCAGCTCGAGACACGACAATTTAGACAAGCAAAAGATTATCTCAGTTTTCCTGAAGATCTCAAACAGTTTTTAGTTCCCTTCAGATCCTCTTACGGTTTACGTCACGCTGATCAGAGATTTTTTTTGTCCCAAGAGTAAAAAACAAACAGGAAAACACTCTTAAATATAAAGCTTCTGATTGGATCAATCTTCCCTCATCGATTTGAGCTTTAACTTCTGTCCCTTCATTTAAAAAAGCTCTGGTTCAGTATTTACAGAACCGATGCCATTGTTTTTGATCATTTTGTTGTTCATCTTGTTGTATTTTTTGATTATCTTTGAACTCTGTCTTAGTTATTCTGCTCAAATTTGATTTATTATGTGTTGTTCATTTGTGAGTTCGTTCGTGAGTTTGTTCGTGAGTGAGTTCCGGGTTCGTTCAGGAGTTTGTTCATTCATGAATTTGTTCGTTCGTCAGTTTGTGAGTTCGTGAGTTTATTCGTTGTTCGTGAGTTTGTTCGTCAGTTTATTCGTTCGTCAGTTCATTCGTGAATTCGTTCGTGAGTTCGTTCGTCAGTTTATTCGTTCGTCAGTTCATTCGTGAATTCGTTCGTGAGTTTGTTCGTCAGTTTATTCGTTCGTCAGTTCATTCGTGAATTCGTTCGTGAGTTTGTTCGTCAGTTCGTGAGTTCGTTTGTTAGTCAGTTTGTGAGTTTGTTCGTTCTTCAGTTTATTCGTGAGTTTGTTCGTTTGTGAGTTCGTTCGTTAGTCAGTTTGTGAGTTTGTTCGTTCGAGAGTTCGTTAGTCAGTTTGTGAGTTTGTTCGTTCGTGAGTTTGTTAGTCAGTTTGTGAGTTTGTTCGTGAGTTTGTTAGTCAGTTTGTGAGTTCATTTGTTCAGTCAGTTCGTTCGTCATCTTGTTCGTTCGTTCGTTCGTTAGTCAGTTTGTGAGTTCGTTCGTTCGTCAGTTTATTCATGAGTTCGTTTGTTCGTTAGTCAGTTTGTGAGTTCGTTGGTTCGTCAGTTTGTTCGTCAGTTCATTCGTCAGTTTGTGAGTTCGTTTGTTCATGAGTTCGTTTGTCAGTTTATTCGTGAGTTCGTTTGTTCATGAGTTCGTTTGTCAGTTTATTCGTGAGTTTGTTTGTTCGTTCATCAGTTTGTTCGTGAGTTCCTGAGTTTGTTTGTTCGTTCGTGTTGATTTTGTTGTTTTGATGCTTATTTGAACTGATGTATCCTACTGTCTGCCCGACTGTATCTGTCTTTTGTTGTTGTATTTTTGAGGACCCCCTCACAAACGAGATGGCGAGACTCTCAAGGGGCTTATCCTCCAAATAAATACATTCAAATATAAATAAAGACTCATTTTCTTACTCTTTAAAACAGTAAATCACCAAAACAGCCAGTCTGATCCACTGCCCAACCCCGAGTTATATTCCCCTGTTCTCCAAAAGAACTTTAGGAAGTCCTTTTCTTACCCAGTTGTTCACAAATGACGTCCTGCGTTTCTGTGTCGTCTTTCCTGCTCAGTATGGCCCCCACTGACCCCTGCAGGACGACAACGGAATTACACATTAACACAGAATCAGGTTTACGGCCGTAGAGACCACAAAATACCAAAACACTGTACATTTTTCATTATTTTAAGGATTTTAAAGTAACAAACGCTAAATAATCATGTTCAAGACTCAAAGCGCTTTATCCGAAGGTCTTTCAGTGGGATTCGAACCACCAACCTCCAAACAAACGGTGGACAAACGCTCTAGCGGCTGACGATGACGTGATGAGAATAAAAAAACCTGCACGCACCTTGACGGTCTTGGGGATCTGGTCCACGTACTGGGGTTTGACGATGGCCCTCAGGTCGTCCTCCAGGATTTTGGTGAAGTAGTTTTGGAGCTCGGACCCTCGGAAATAAGTCAGGATCTCCTGCCAGTCCGGAGGATTCTGGAAGAGACACAGAGGTGAACCCAGACATAAAAATTTAAGATTGTTTCAAATAGTTTTAAGACTTTTTACGACATCACGGGAATCCTGGAATAAAGAACAAAACAGAAACTCTCCTCCGCTGTTCTCCGACTTGTGTTTTTTTTTAGAAGAACCTAAAGAACCCGCGTTACTCTGTTCACACTCACGTCGTATCTGCCCAGGTTCGGCTTCTGTTTCCCCGCCAGGATCTTCAGAGCTGTGGACTTTCCGATACCGTTGGTCCCGACGAGCCCCAGCACCTCGCCCGGCCGCGGGATGGGCAGCCTGGACACAAGGGGGCGCCGTGCGTTACAGACGAGGCGTAAAACACAACAGGACGTCAAAACTTACCCACCGACAGTGTTTATTTTACAGAAAAAAGTCTTGGGAAAGAGAAACGTCGAACCCAGAGTCTGTAACACTCGACTTAAGAATCCTCAAATTTTTATCTTTTTTATTTTACCTGTAAACATTCAAAAACTGTTTGAGTTAAGAACAAAAAACTAGAGTCTAAAACGAACGGACGTGTTCAAAAAACCCAGATTCAGAACCAAAATTATAAAACAAAACACTGCTGTGAAAGAAGCTAAAGATCAAGAACAATAATGACATTTAACAAATCAATAAAAATCCATAAATTCAGCTCATTAAGTACGAAAACGAAAAACCAAGTGCAGATTCTGTTTGGTTTTTTTGTCTGAATCGAGTTTGTGACTGAAATGAAACGTACCGACATGTTTTAAAGTAACTCTCAGATAACAGAAGATCAGACTTTTTCTGCTCGTTTTCGTTCATTTCTTGCATGTTTAAAGTTACGACTCAGTTTAAGTGTTTTTATATTTCATGACACACATAAATAAATCAGCGTGGAGCAGCAGAGGGAGGGAGGGAGCGTCGTACCGGTGCAGTTTGAAGGAGTTGGCGCAGTATCTGTGAGTGGTCTCCTTCTCCAGGTTACTCGGCAAATTCACGATGGACAACGCCCCAAACGGACATTTCTGTAAAAAAAATATAATAATAATAACACAAGGGTTCAGGAATAAATAAACTCCTTTAAAAAATATTAAATACTCTATTAACCCTTCCAGACCAACAGGATCGTTTACGACACCTGGGAACATGTTTTAGAACCGGGCGTAACTTTCTGACCATAAAAGATTGATTTTGACGTTGGGAAATCGAGTGTCCAATAGGAACTTTGTTTTGGTCCAAACTCGGTGGCTCCGTCCATTCTGATTGGTCCAAACTTTGCCAAAGAGTGTCGTGAGTCAAAACGGTCGATGTTCTGAGCGTCTCTGTTCAGAACAAGTGAAAAATTCGCTCTAAGTGCAGAAACTTGTCACATAAATGGACAAATTATGCATTTTGGTCTGTGTAATTCTGCAAAATCAAACTTACATGTACATTTGCACATTTAGATAGATTTTAAAGTTCTTTTATTGGTTTATAAAGCTCTTAATGGTCTTAGTCCTATTTATTTATCTGATCTGCTTTTATCACATGAGCCTCTCGGACTTTTTAAAAGTAAACTTAAAACATATCTTTTTAATTTAGCTTTTAACTAAAACTTTCACCTGTTTTAACTTAAATTATCATTATTATTGTTATTATTATAGTTTTAAATTAAATTATCATTACTATTTTACTTAGTCTCCATCTGATCTTAGCTCTACATTTTCATTTTTATTATAACTTTTAAGAGCTTTATGTTTATTAGTTTTTATGTTTCTGTTTAAATTGTTGTATATATGTGGGGGGTTAATTAATGTATTGATTTTTTTCTGTTGCAGGTGAAGCTCTTTGTGCTACATTTCAAATGTATGAAAAGTGCTATACAAATAAAGTTTGATTGATTGATTTAATTTGTGTAATTTCATGGGTATAAATTGCTAAAAAAAAAAAAAAAAACTTGTGAAGTTAAAACAGACGTTATTACAGCAGTCAGCCATTTTATTTAAGATAACTTATTTTTCTTTGTGTGACGCAGCCTCATTTTAATCTGCTAATGATAAAAACAGATCTGATAAACACATTTATTGTTTTTTATGTTAAAATAAGCAGCTTTTTATTGGCATTTTGTTGTAACTGCTTTATTATAAGTTACTGAGCCACAATAACACGTGAACTGGAATGTGAGAATATTACACTGAGATCTCTGAGTATTTTTGTGTTTTTCTCCTGTAGTTTCACTCTGTATTCAGAACAGAGTTTTTGTCTCTGAGTCAGAGTTTAGCTCCACGTCAAACTGAAGCTGCTGCTGCTCTGAGGAAGAACAGTCCAGAACTCAGATCAGACACTCGTCAGTCCGACCCGAGCCACGATAAACAAACATTTCACTTTCAGATCGTGACAGAAACAGTTTTTTTACCTTGATGCAGATGCCGCAGCCTATACACAATCCCTCTGAGATCAGCACGATTTTACTCTGAGGAGTCACTTCTATGCACAGTTTCCCTACAAAAACACAAACACAGACACAAAATCATTAGAAAATTTAATAAAAATAATCCTAAATCTGTCAGCACAATATTGAAACTTTTAGCAATCAACAATATTTCTGTAAAAAACTGTAATTTTAATATTATACCGATGTTTTAATCTACTTTTCAACTCCATTATTTCAGTTATAATAAAAGAAAATTAAAATTGAAAGGAAAATCATGAGTAAATTCAGCTGTATTGAACATTGGTTTAAGAAAAACAAACATTGCATTTTATCTGATGAAAAACCCTGGATTTGTTGTGATGTTCTGAGCATCGTGTCAGAGAAATATTATAATATCAATACTTCTATTGATCCGCTGCAGTGATCCTTTGTGTTACCATGGCAACACAACACACACGAGAAAACACGGACAAAAAAGGTTTAAGATCGTCAGAATTAAATTATTTGTATTTATAATAAAATCTCTCTTGTAAACGTTGTGAATGTAAATATGAGCAACTTGTAATTTGTACTGAACGAATCTTAAAATACAGACACAGTTAAACAGTGTAAAGAGCCGGTGATACGTGGGGTCATTTCTACTGTCGTTAGGACTCGAGACACGTTTTTTTTACAATCTTGGTCTCGTCTCAGACTCGAGATTTAAAACTCGACGAGTGTGATCATGTTTCATTACGGCCAAAACAAGTTTAACAATCCCAGTTTCTTCAGTTTTGTGTAAAATTCCAGTGGAAGTTTCTCAAACTGTGGGTGAGGGTCCAAAAAAAGGGCACAGGCCACATGTTTCAGTGCAGAACAGTTTGTTTGGATTATTTCTATCTTAAATAAACATTAAAATGGAGATAGATTTACAAAAATAATTATATATTTGTGCCAAAATAACTGTAAAATACAAATAAATGTAGAAAATGACAAAGATGGTCTCGATTTGGTCTCGGTCTTGTCTCGTCCTTTAAAAGTCTCCGTCTTGTCTTGGATTCGTCCTTTGAGAGTCTAGGTACCCTATAGTCTGCCTTGTCTTGGTCCTGGGACCCCGTAGTCTCGGTCTCGGCCTTTAAAAGTCTCGGTCTCGGGACCCTGTGGTCTCGGTCTCGTCCTTTAAGAGTCTCGGTCTTTTCTCTGTACCATGTGGTCTCAGTCTTGGTTTTATCTCGGTCTCAGCCTTTTTAAAAGTCTCCATCTTGTCTCGGTCTCACTACCCTGTGGTCTCAGTCGTGGTCTCGGTCTTGTCCTGGTCTCTGGACCCTGTGGTCTGGGTCAGGTCTCGGTCTTGTCCTGGTCTCTGGACCCTGTGGTCTGGGTCAGGTCTCGGTCTTGTCCTGGTCTCTGGACCCTGTGGTCTGGGTCAGGTCTTGGTCTTGATTATTGCGCTCTTGACCACAACACTTTTCATTTCTGTAATTTTGTTCTCGCTCTTACGTTGGTTCTGAGACGCGCCTTGGAAAGATTAAAAGTCCTTTAACCGTCAGTTCAGTCCTTCTCAGTTCGCCCGGACGCTACGCAGTCGACCTTAAACCTGTTTTTCTGTCGGCGTTTGCTGGTGTGTGCGTCGCGTCGCCGTGGTAACTGCTCAAAAATCACGTCACAGATTCACAGAGTAGAAAAAGCAAAGCGTCTGAAGCGGCGGCTCTTACCCATGCGGACGACGGGGCAGCTCTTCTTGCACTCCTGACGACACTTCTTGGGTTTGCATTTGTCGTGGTTGACGATGGCGATCCTGGTGTTTTTGTCGGCCATTTTGAAGGCGATGGATGGGCGCGAGGACTGAAGCGCTGACGAGGCGAGAAACGAAAGAGGATGAGGTTAGACAAAGATTCAAACACAGACGCAAACAAACAAGAATCGTTACAGCGACCGGACGTTCTGAGCTCCACTGAAAGAAAAACAGCTCAAATACAAACTTAAGACTGTTTGTGTTTTATATTTTGAAACTAAAATTCAGGAAAAAGTGTCTGAAGCAAAGATGAGACAAAAATATAACTAAAAAATAAGATTCTGTCCATTTTTGTACAACAATAATAAAAAAAAAAACACTTTTAACACATTAGAATGTCGTTTTATACCCAAAACATTGTTTGTTTTTGTCGTAGGAATCACAGACCGTTTGTATAAATGGACAAAGCCGCCGCGTTCCAAACAGGAAACGATTTGGCTCCATCGATTCTGGCTCCAGTTCACTTTTTATTGAAAAACCGTGGCCCTTCTCTCTGTACCTGCTGCTGTCAGACTCGCCGTTTCGGTCTAAAAAAGTTCGTATTAACGAGCTCTACACGATCCTGGGGTTTTTATTTATTATTTATTATATTTATCCGTTAATAAATTCGGATTCTTAATATCGAATATGGAATCGAACGCTGTGGGTCTATGGAACTAAACAAACTTCTACTATTTAATGTAAAAAATCACATTCTGTTGTCTAAAGAAAGAGCGTTTTTATTTTCATCGTAGGATCAGAATCTCGTTCAAGTCTGTTCCTGAGTATTGAAATAAAGTACACAGGTTATAAAGATGATTATGGAAAATTATTTGTTTATTCAAATTTTAAATGCTGTTGATTTTCTCACTATGAATTCATAAACTCAAATAATTTTTAATCTGAATTACCGTTGATTAAATTTAACATATACATTTTCAGTGTTTAAAAATATAAATAAAATAATCTTTTAAATATTCGGCACAAATATTCTCAAGTGTAAAATTTGCAGTGAAAAAATTGCAGCAAAGAACCAAGATTCTAAGAGAGTGGATCTAATTTCTGAATTTTAACTGTTGAATTTTGGCTTAAAAATGTTTATTATGAAGATTTAAAAGGTGAATTTTCTATTTTGAATTTTTTAAAATGTTGAAAATGTAAACTTCAGAATAAAAATAGTAAAAGTGAGAGATCGTGTTGTATATTTCCTGGACTGTGGTGTGGTCAGACTGAGCGTCGCTCGGAGAGTCACTGCTGAAGCCTCATTTTCAATTCACCTCCAGTCACTTTTCAGAGCAACAAAAGCCCCGCACCGACCCGGCCTCTGTGTGACTCTGACCCAGAACTGACCCAGAACTGACCCAGAACTGACCCCGAGCCTGACCCCGAATGTGATCCCGAGTCTGACCACAGAACTGACTACAAACTGACCACAAACTAAATGCAAACTGACCACAAACTGGCGACAAAATGATTACAAACTGAGTACAAAACTGACTAAAAAAAACTATCACAAACTGACCACAAACCTGAGTGCAGAACTGACCATAAACTGACCACAAAAAAAAAAAAAAAAAAAAAAAACTGACCACAAACCTGACAGCAAACTGAACACAAACCGACGATAATACGATTACAAACTGACCACAAACTGAGTACAGAACTGACCAAATAACGACCACAAACTAAATGCAAACTGACCACAGAACTGACCACAAACTGACGACACACTGACCACAATCTGAGTACAAAACTGACCACAAAACTAAATGCAAACTGACCACAAAAAAAAAAAACACAAACTGACCACAGACTGAGTACAAAATTAAGCACAAACTAAATGCAAACTGACCACAAACCTGAGCGCAGAACTGACCACAAAACCGACGACAATACGATTACAAACTGACCACAAACTGAGTACAAAACTGACCAAAAAACGACCACAAACTAAATGCAAACTGACCACAAACTGACGACACACTGACCACAATCTGAGTACAAAACTGACCAAAAAATAACAGCAAACTGACCACAAACCTGACGACAAACTAAATACAAACTGACCACAAAAAAACAACAAACTGACCACAAAACTAACCACAAACTAAATGCAAACTGACCACAAACCTAACCACAGAACTGACCACAAACTGACGACAAAACGATCACAAACTGACGACAAACTAAATAAAAACTGACCACAAAACTGACCACAAACTAAATAAAAACTGACCACAAACTAAATAAAAACTGTCAACAAACCAACCATAAACTGACTACAAAACTGACCACAACCTGAGCATGAACTGACCTCAGAACTGACCTCGGAGGTTCCATCACGTGGGAAAAATATAGGAGAGTTTTTCTGACGAGCGTTACGATAACGACCTCACTATTATTATTATTATTTCATTACTTATTTTTCCAGTTTATCTTGACTTGTACATTTACATTTCTATAATCACGTCTTATTCCACTCCCGTCTCTTGCTCTTTTTTGTTACTTAAATTTATCATCACCATTTATATTTTTATTCTTTGTTATTTTTATTGTGACGTGTGACTCCTGAGTCCAGATCTAAAACTTTGTTCCTTCCTACATCATCTGCCTCTTCGCACTTCAAGAAAAAAATAAAAAAAAATAAAAAAAGACCGAGTGGAATTTGGCAGATTTGTTTTTGCAGCAGTTTTTGGGGGGTTATTTTTCCTGTACACATATCGAAATATATATCGTTTAGGGAGATACAGCAAAAATATCGAGATATTTTTTATTCCATTCGTCCAGGCCTAGTGCCGTGAATGTTTTTTAATAATCGGATTCTGTTGAACAAGTTTGTACAACTCGAAAACTCTGAAAACACAGAGTAAAGTGGAGAATTAACTTTGTGTTTGTGGTTTGTCGATTTCTTGAGACGAGGTTTTCAACTTTAAAAAGGTGCATTTTCTCCATGTAGATGTTATTTCTTTGTCGTGAATGTTCCGCAGTGTGTCTTTAAACCTTTCTATCTTCACGGAGACCAAACCAGACGCAGTTCCAGGTCAGATCTGCGGAGAGGCGACGCCGCTCACAGTCAGAATGTTTGTTTTCCTTGGGATTTTTGACTCTAAAACCACCTGTAAGTGAATAAATAAACGCTCCACACCTTTTGCACTTTTAAAACACGTGTTGACGACGACCGCGGGAGGACTTTTAGATCGTCGCGTTTGTGAGCGAGTATAAACGGGCCGCGGGAGTGTCCACGCCGCGAAAACTTACACAATCAGTCAACGGGCAGGACGAGGCGGGATTAGGAGTTTCACAAACACTAAATCTCACACGGGGAAGTCTCTACGTCAAATAATCATCAAGAAAATCAGACTGGGGATGAGTTTAAAGCTTCGGTGGACACGTTTACATCATGTTTGTGGTGAAATGTTTTTTATTTCATGTGTGTGAGCGTCTGGAGGTGGGGGGGGAGGTTCTGATTGGACAGAAACACCAACAGATTTACGTCTTTGAGAAGAAAACACAAACTTCAGCTGCTCCCGGTTTTTCTCTCATCTCGGTTTGTAGTTCCTCCACGAACACAAACACTATCCAAACTTTTTTTTACCAGGACTAAACCAGGTCTAAACCAGGACTCTATACAGTCTAAAACAGTACTAGACAAGAAGGGCGACACAACGAGCATGCGCCGAAGCACCCACATTATTTTTAACAAGAAGAAACGAGAAACATGACCCAGGAACGAAATTCAGATTAAAACAAACACTTACTTCAGAATTAAGATTAATTCACAATCTTTTTCAGTTGGAAATAAGTGTTTACGTGGTCTTTTTAAAGACGAATTAAGTTTTATTCAGAATTAAATTATTTTTATTCGAACTAAACGTGGCCAGCGTGGTACATCCAAAATACAACTTTATCGAGACAAAATACGACCAAAACAGGAGGGACAGGATCTTCTCAGTGGAAGAGTTTTAAGTTTTGTCTTAAGACCCACTTTTATTCAAAATTGGTCAAAAATAGGGACACACGGGGACAAATTCAGTGGTTTTGTATAAATCTGCAGGGACAGGGGACACAGGGGACAAAACTGTGACTGTCCCAGGGAAACTGGGAAGTGTGGTCTCTATTATCAATAGAATTGTTCTGTGATTCCAAACTAAGTCCCTTGTTTGTGCTTCTGAGTCTCGTCCCGTGAGTCACTGTGGGTCTCGTGGCCTTTACACCAGCTTAGAGTGACCAGATTTTCAAAATAAAACACTGGGACATCCCGGGTTTGGATTGGGTGGTAATAATAAACGAGTGTGTAAAACTGTTACACACTGGGCACTAATGTGAGTCAGTTTAGTCACATTTTCTTTGTGTTTTGGTCGTTTTTTAAGCAGATTTTCTGTATTTTACCCAAACAAATGACAGTTTATGTCTCTGTTTACTGTTGGCAGAGATCAGATTGGTCAAACATTGTGACAGTCCTGGTTTAGAGTTGATGTAGTCCTCATTTAATCTTAGTTTAGTCCTGGTTTAGCTCAAATTGGTCAAAAATAGAGACACCTGGGACATTTCTTGTATAAAACCTGGACAAATCAGTGGTTTTGTATAAATCTGCTGGGACAGGGGACAAAACTGTGACTGTCCTGGGGAAACAGGGACATCTGGTCTCTATTATAGATAAATTAGAACCACAGAACAATTCTAAGTCCCATTTTCGTGCGTCTGAGTCTCGTCCCGTGAGTCACCGCGGGTCTCGTGGCCTTTACTCCACAAACCCACACACAAAACACCTGTACGTGTACCTGTCCCCGCGCGTTTACCCCCCCACAGGGACACACTGGGGTCCGTCCACAGCACACACGGGGTTTGTAGACTCGTTTTGATCTCGTATTATCTCTGGTTTTGTCTGTTTTGTCTCTGGTGTTATCTTGGGTGTTGACTTGGGTTTGGTTCTGGTTTTATCTCATATTAGCTCTGGTGTTGTCTCGGGTTTGGACTCAGGTGTTGTCTTGGACTCGGGTTTGGACATAGTTTTGTCACTGGTTTGTCTCGGGTTTTGACTCGGGTTTGGCTTTGGTTTTATCTCATATTATTTCTGGTTTTCTCACGGTTTTGTCTCTGGTTTGTCTCAGATTTTGACTCGGATTGGTCTCGGGTTTTGACTCGGATTGGTCTCGGGTTTTGACTCGGGTTTGGCTTTGGTTTTATCTCATATTATCTCGGGTTTTGACTCTGGTTTTATCTCTGGTTTGGTCTCCTCCGTGGCGCACTGAGTCTGTCGGGCGGCGGCTCCGTCTCTGTCCTCGGCTCTGTCCTCACGTAACCCGCCCGACCCGCGCTCCTGCGGCCTATACACCCCCGGAACCCACCGTGTGCGGGTCACGGCTCTCGGAATCACGCGTTAATCGCGCGTTAATCGCACGGGAATCACTCCGGACAAGTTCGGGCGACGTAACTTCGTCCGAGCGGCACGTCGGGGATTTTCTTCGACAGCACAAAGTGAAGATCGGCGGAGATAACGTCATTCACAGACACGTGCTGGGTGCGGACTGAAGCGCGGCGTCGGACAAAGTGTAACTGTGTTTAATCTCGTTTCCGATCGTGTTTTATTCGCCGTAAAATCCTCGTTGCGTACATTCATGCGGCGGCTAACGGCGCTAGCCCCGGGCCCTGCGCTGACAGCCGCCGCACTTAGCCGCTACACTTAGCATCGCCGCGTGTTTCAATGACAACAACGGCGTCTTTAATCGCTCACCCGCGGCACAAACGCGTAAACTCACCCCTCCCTGATCCCCGTGACTCGACCGCAAGAAGCTCGGCGGTTCGACTCGGTTCGGGGCGCAGATCCGGACTCGGAGTTGTTTTTTTTCCCGCAACGTGTTCGTCTGGAGCCGGCGGAAAGATGGCGGGACACGCGTCAGCAGAGCGCGACCGCGTCATCGGGGACACGTCATCGGGACGCGACTTGGCGCAAAGTGGGAGATTTTTTTTTTATTTTTTTTTTTGAGAAGGAAAAACGCTTTAAACTGTTTATTTCTGGATTTAATCGCGGAGTAAAAACATCGCGACGCGCTGGAGAACCGTAACTAAATCCACCCGGTAGGAGCTGTGTGAAATAAACGTTCCATTTCGTGTCGGTTTTTCCGTGTTTTTAGCCTCGGAGCTAAACACAAACATGACAGAAACATTTACATTTTTATTTATTTCAGAATAATCCAAAAGAATAAAGGCAAATTTAAAGTGGACAAGTTTTAAAAAAATATATATATATATATTTATTTTTTTTGATTAGTAATAATAAAATAAAAGTGAAACGAGCGCGAAATTATAAAAAATTGTTCTGCACACGGCACTAATGTGTTTAGTCCTGGTCTAGTCCCTGGTTTAGTCCTGGTCTAGTACTTGGTTTAGTCCTGGTGTAGTACTTGGTTTAGTCCTGGTCTAGTCCTGGTCTAGTCCTGGTTTAGTCCTGGTTTAGTACCAGGTTTAGTCCTGGTCTAGTACCGGTTTAGTCCTGGTTTGGTTCT